AAAGAGTCTTATAGCAATAACCATATCAATCAATGCAATGTGGATCTTATTTAGATCTTAATTCAAACACATAATCAAAGAAATTTAGATGCTAACTTGATATTTTACTATATCAATAAATTATTATTACAAAAAGGAATTATTGTTAAAAATTCTAGGTGTGGCATTGTGATTTTTAAAAAATATATATGATACCTTTAAAAACATTCCTGGTCAAGATGAGTATGTGGAAGGAAATAGCAGATGTAAGTGAAACAGGACTGACCAAGTACTGTACATCCCTGAAGCTGGGTAATGGGTACCTAAGGTTTCATTTTACTATTCTACTTATATGTTTGGAATTTTTCATAATAAGTTTTTTAATCATCCTTTCTTCTAGATGACCAACTCAGAACTACCATTCTAATCAGAATGTTAAGCACTCCGATATTCCTAATATTAATGAGTTCCTTTCCCTTCCTACAGCATGAGCCAACCATATACAATTCCCCCTATTCTCTACATTTGGAACCATCTCTACATTTATAAACATGGAGTCACCCACCAAGTTATTGCTATAAGACTCTTTCCGTCTTCCACCAGCTGGCCCTACAAGAATAACCATATATAGGTATATGAGCTCGAAAACAGCCTGTCTTTAATCTCCAACAAAAGCAGACACTGGTACTCACAGAGGGGCTACAGAAGACCTGTAGTCAGAATCACAACTACAGTCTGTATATTACCATCCCATTAAATTTTACCTTTTGAAAAAGAAGATGCCTTCATTTCTTAGAATAATATGAAAATTAAGTATCTCAAACAGCAACTCAAATAATCATAGTTTCCTTCACTATCTACATTCAGATACTTTTATATCCCTCATGCTCTACTGAATTCCAATGAATTCATGAGAAATCTCTGAGATGTCTTGTCCAGCTCCCCTGTAAATAACTACTTAAGGCTCACAGAGAGATACAGGATGCAAAAAGAAAATAGGAAAGACCTAAATTCCCAAGAGCTTCAAAGGGTAACTGGAGAAAATTAAGAATGAAAACAGAAGCATGGAATATTCATTTGTCTAAAGATATTTCATTTGTAACCAAGAAGAATGGCCCTCTTATCTCAAATAAAAACTTGGAAGAACAGTAACCTTTCTAATATAGTAAAACTTTAGCAAACTGTGTAATGAGGACTGGAAGGGAAAAACAACTGTCAATGGATAATGGTTTTGGCCTTTGCTTCTCTCACCTTCAAATTTTGAAATGATGAATTTAGATCATGTTTACAACCAGCATTTTAAACAGACTTTCTATATAAAATCATTTATATTTTTAATAATGCTATATTATAGTTTACTACTGCACAAATAGAAAAGTTGGAACAATTTTTTAAAAAATCAGTTAAGGTAACAAATTAAAAAAAATTTCAAGCCTGCTATTTATTGTTATTGATTAAGACATTAAATGAGTATTTGAGCCAGAAAATAGTAACAGATGCTCACATTCTATCATTAGGGCTATAGAAAAGGAATACTGACCACACTGCATCTACGTAACCTCTTCCTTACTAACAGAGTTATATAGAATACACTAAACATGATTAAAGCAATTATGAAAAACACTATTTTCCTAATCAACTGCTTACATTTGCTACTAGTTCATAAACTATATTTCCCAGTCTCAGTCTACCTTGAGCTATATATTATTCAAGTAAAATCCAATAAAAACTAATATTAAGTTCTGTTCTATGTTGCTTCTATGTTCCTTTTTCATAGATTACACCATGGGTATGAATACTGTATAATACTTCTCTCTGATCCCCATCTTAAGACTTACCAACCCCGCAAAATAAAAATTTCTTAACTGTGCTATTCACCTTTCCTCTGGGAGGAACATAAAAATATAGAAGATATCTAAACTGATTTAAGCTAACAGAAAATTAATGTTTCCACATTTCCTTTCCTCTGCTATAAAGAAGCAATTGTCCTTCAGTTTAGCCTCAATTCCTCTCAATATCTCCCATTACCACCCACACAGAAAAATGTAGGAGATTGAAAAAAGGCAAATGGCATGTCCTTGAAATCATATTCTTCCCCCTACTTTTTATCACTGGGTAACTTACTTTGAAGAGGTTACATACTTGATATCTCTGAGTACATAATTATAAACTGAGTGCCTAAGAAGAACCTATAGTAAAGTAATTTCAAGTTCCTCATTTGAAAATCCCACTATATTAAAGACTAGAGGCCCAGTGCACGAAGTTCATGCATGGGGGTGGGTCCCCACAGCCCAGCCAGCACCCTCTCCAATCCAGGACCTGGGCCTAAACTGGCAGTCAGACATCCCTCTCACAATCCTGGACCGCTGGCTCCTAATCGTTCACCTGCCTGCCTGCCTGGTTGTCCCTAACCCCCTGGTCACCGGCTCCACCCTCGTCCAGGATTTGGTCTTCCCTCACTAACCCCCCTGCCGGCCGGGTCATAGGCAACCATCTTGTGAGGGCATGCATATTACCTATTTATTATATAGGATATTTGTATATGCCTTTGAAATTTGTTGGGACAAGATTTAGCCTATATTTGGGGAATGTTAATTACTTTGGTGATTAGATACTATGCATGTGAATTTTTAAAATCTTGAAGTATCCTATATAATAAAAGGCTAATATGCAAATCAACTGAACGGTGGGAACTACAGGTTGCTATGACACGCACTGACCATCAAGGGGCAGGTGCTCAATGCAGGAGCTGCCCCCTGGTGGTCAGTGTGCTCCCACAGGGGGAGCACTGCTCAGCCAGAAGCTGGGATCACGCTGGCAAGTGCAGCGGCGGTGGTGGGAGCCTCTCCTGCCTCCACAACAGTGCTAAGGATGTCCGACTGCCAGAACAGGCCTAAGCCATCAGTCGGACATCCCCCAAGGGCTCCTGAACTGTGAAAGAGCACAGGCTGGGCTGAGGGACCACCCCCCAAGTGCAGGAATTTCATGCACCAGGTCTCTAGTATTAATATAAGAAAACTGAGTAACCTACTACCTTGACATTCTCAGACTGGGAGAAGGAAAGTTGTAATCTGTGATGAAACAGGAGAGACCTTCAGACCCAAAGCAGAAAAATAAGAGTTCTCTTCAAAATTCCCATATACCACAGGAATAGAATTACATGTTGAATTACCACTCACCTTGTGCTACTGTTGACATGACCACAGATGGTGTGGAAGATACCACGGCTGTTACTGCAACTGTATTAGGGATAGGTGAAGGTGTAGAACTGCTGCTGCCACTGCTGCTACTACTGACCAGAGAGGACTGTGAAGCAGTTATAACCACCGGTGGCTTCTGGGTTGTGGAAGCAATTACTGATGTTGGTACAAGCTTAGTGACTGCTGCATAGTTATGGGATTTGGAGAGAATATTGGGCACGAAGGTTGAACTTGGTGATGTGGTCACTATAATAACCTAAGAAACGAAAAATAAGTTATTTTCATATACCTGCTATACTACTAATGTATTTAGAATTGTTGTTATATATAATTCAAAAATAGCTTATGAAACAAAGTATGAAGAAACAATTTACGGAGCTAAATACATAACTAAAAATATTTAAATGAAAAATTTTTACCAACCAAATATTTTTAAAGACAACATGCAATGCTGTTCAAGACACAGCAAAGTAAGAATGTTAACATAATGCTTAGGAAATATATATTGGCACAATCTTTCTAGAAAGTAATTTGAATAGTCATTCATTTGTAAATATTTGTTGAGCATCTACTATGTGCCAGGCATGATTCTAGATGCTAGGGATAGTGGAATAAACAAAACAAAGTTTGTACTCCATGGAATTACATTCTAGTGGGGGGGGGGGAGAGAATAATAATAAACAAATAAAAAATTCATGTCATGTTGGAAGAGCCAATAAAGCAAGGTAGGATAATGGAGTGCTTTATGACTTTTTCTATAGTATTTAATGATGATCTCTATGATAAAGTGACATTTGAACAGAAACTAGAAGTAAGCAACGAAGGGTGAGAGGCATGTTGCTACCTAGAGGAAGAGTATCCAATGGCACAGGGAGCAGTAAACACAGGGGCCCTGAAGCAGAAGCAAACTTGGTATGTTCAAGAAACTTCAAGGACCTAATAAATAGGATTGGAATTTATAAGGTAGAGCATAGTAGGAGACAGATTCAGAGAAGTAATGGAGGACTAGATGATGTAAGATCATGTTGACAGTAAATACCCTTGATCTGATATGATGAAAATGGCACTTTCTATCTGTGGCCTTCCATCTGAAAATCCATAACCCTCGACTAATCATGAGGAAACATTAGACAAATTGCAATAGTGGGACATCCTACAAAGCACTTGACTACTCCTCCTCAAAACTGTCAAGGTCATCAGACATAAGGAAAGTCTGAGAAACTTTCACAGCCAAGAGGAGCCTAAGAAGACATGCAATAAGGTATCCTGAAACAGAAAATGACAATAGGTAAAAACTCCAAAAAAATGTGAATAAACCATGGACTTTAGTTAATATCAGTGCATCGATATTGGTTCATTAATTTTAACAAATGTACCACACTAATATAAAATCTTAAAAATAATGGAAACAGTGCAAGGTATATGAGAACTCTCTGTACTATTTTCTCTAAATATAAAACTATTTAAAAACTAAAGTCCTTTTTATTTTTAGTTTACTTTGAATCCTCATCCGAGGTTATGTTCTATTGATTTTTAGAGAGAGAGGAAGAGGGGAGGCGGGGGAGAGAAAGAGAGAGAGAGAGGTGAGAAACATTGACAGGCTACCTCCTGTACATACTCCACAACCTAGGTATGTGCCCTGACCAGGAATCAAACCCACAGTCATTTGGTGTGTGGGATAATGCTCCAACCAACTGAGCCACCTGGCCCAGGCAAAAAATAAAGTTGTGTGTGTGTTTTTTTAAAAGAAAACATTACTCTATCTACTAGGTGAAAAGTATAGTAGAGCAGAAATAGTAGAAACATAGAAACAGGGAGAAAAATTAAGAGCCTCCTGCAATAAACAGAGGTGATGGTGACCAAAGTGTTCATGGTAAAAATAGTGAAAAGTGAACAGATTCTGAATATATTTAAAGAAGAAAAACAGGATTTGCTCATAGGTTGATACAGAGAACAGAGGGAAAAAAAGGGGAGGGGGGCAGGGAGCAAGAAAGAGACTTCAAGTTTAGCCAATATAGCTAAGAAACTCTAAATGACATAGGGACAAGGCATCTCAAAGAGAACAGGATAGCAAAGGTCCTAAGGTGGGAATTAGCTCAATGTAGTTATAAACAGAAAGCAAGCCAGTGTAGCAAAACCATATAGAGCAAGGAGGGGGTGGAAAAATTAAGCAAAGGTCAGATCAAATTTGTAAGCCAGAGTAAAGAATTTAAATTGTATACTAACTATAATGGGAAACCATGGATGGTTTTACAACAAAACTTGATTTTTATTTTAAAAGATTACTCTAGCAGCTATGTGATAAGATGCAAGAGTGGAAGCAGTGAAACTTGTAAAGAAGCTATTGCAGTAGACCAGGCAATAATAGAGGCTGCTTGAACTGGGGTGTTAGTGGAAATAAAGAGAAGTGAGCAGTTTCAGATTATTTTGAGAGGTAAAGTCAATAGGACTTGATGTATGGAAATGATCAGGTTAAAGGAAAAAAATCAAGATTAGCTCCTAAAGCTAATATGCATTGGCTTATTTAAATCTCTCAACAATCCTATGATGCAGATACTATTATTATCCCTATTTTACAGTTGAGAACACAAAAATCATTTACAAATCTGTAGTATCACAGTTTTATCCTTGGTGTCATGGTGGTATAGTGATACCCAAAACAGAGCTGAATGTCTTTTTCTTCTTTTACCAAAATTTCTTGTACCAAGGGCAGAAAAAATGTTTTGAAAAATCCAAAGAATTTAAGGGAGAGATTCTTTTTCATTTTTATATCAATCCTACAGAAGGCCTGAAATTAAATCAGTTAGTCAAAATTTACTGAGTATGTCTATACTCAATACCTACATCTCAAAGAGGCTTTAGCTAAATCTCTATTATATATATATTTCAAGTGTTATAGAGAATTAGTACATGTCCATTACTTTAAGGACTCAAGAGACAAATACACATCATGACCAGCATACTTCTATATAGACTTGATCAGCAAATATCTATATAGTTATTATTACAAAAACAACCATCAGCCATTATGTAAACTGAGAAGAAGTAGACCAATATAATAAGAAGACCAGAAACTTAAGAGTCAAAGGAACCTGAGCTTAATCCTGCACTGCCACTGACAAATAGTGACCCCTGGACACATTTCAAATCTCTGTGCTCCAACTTTCATCTATAAAATAGGGATAATAATAATACCTACCTTGCAAATCATTACAAGGATTAAATGAGATAATGATGTGAAGCATCTAACATAGTGCTAGGCACATAGCAGATGGTCAATATTTGGCAGTCAACAAATGGTACTTATTAGTAGCTTATTATTACTACTTAATAAGTGTTAACGGGATATCAGCAAAGGTATTATATAAACCAAATCAATCTGGAAATATAATGTACTCTATTTTTGTTACATTAAAAAATTTTAGATAGGTTTTTCCAAAATTCTGATAGCCCTGTGTATTCAAAGAATTCACATAGCTACTAACACAGCCAAACCAATTAGTGTAGTAATGGCAATTAGGTTTCACATTTGCCAATTCTGAACTAATAGTAGTAGCTTTCTCAAGCACAGTGTTTATAAGGACTCTGTGGCACAGATGAGGATTCGCCAAGGTTTGGCAAGAAAGTATGACACAGTTAATTTGCAATGTCTGTCATGGGCAAGGGAAGGGGAAGCATTCACACTTGTGTCAAATATTTGCAATTTCAGAACTGGAATATGAATGTAGGCTTCTAACATTAAGACAACATAATTTCAGCAAAATAAATCTGGAGTCTTTAAGAGCATGTTTTAGGTTATAGATACAAAGATAAAACATATTTGAAATTTCAGTCTGCGGGTTGACTTTTTTATCTGAAAAGGGATTATTCAAAATTAGAAATCCACCTTGAAGAAAATTTACTTGTACTTTAAAGTTACTTATTACAACAGGGAAATAAAGGGATTTTGAAACCAAGTGAACCAAACAGTGTTTATTGAGGCCATAATCCAAATTACTGACCTTCTAGCACTCACAAAAACTCCTTAAGAGTGCTGGGACTTGCACCCTAAGGATAAAATGAAAAATATAAATCAAGCACATGAAAGCATAAAGCTATATTCTGTTGCTTTTTTTATATAAGTGCTATACAATGTTATACTTAAAATGATGGCACCACATTAACATATGTGGAGTTTGTCTACCCTGAAAATATATAACCTATTAGAATTTGAATCAAGTCCACAAAATCATAAATAATTATATTTAATGTAAAAGTTACTTTACCTAAAATAATTCCTAAGTTGACTTACATAGGATTTGTGAGAAATCCAAGGTGAATACAATAATGTCAACAGCCTTACAAAGATTTCAAAAAAATCCATCTACCCAGCAAAATGAAAATAAACAATATCTATTAGTCCTACCCATACTCAGCTTGTCCAAGAAATAATAATACTAATGGTACTGAGTGTACATGAAGAGTAGTTTTGTATCTGGAACACAGTAAATAATAACTATTTGAGGAATCAATGAATCTTATTTTTAACATAATTTGTTTTAAATGTTTATTTTTTAAACACAGTAGAACAAATCTAAAGTTCTGAGCCTAAAATTTCATGTATGGCTTATTTATAACTTTGGAGATAAATATACCCTCTTATAAACATCACAAGTGTGACAACCTCAACTATCCATTTTCATAAGTCAGAAAGAAAAAAATAAAGTCACTAAATTTAAAAAAAAAAAGTTCACCAACTTACTTACAAGTAAACCTCCATCTATTACAAGTATATTTATATAGGTCTACCAAAGAAGATTGAACGGTTAATAATGTTAGGTGACATCTACTGAAAATTCAACATATGCACTGTGTAAAGCACTTTCCATGAGTCATCTCATTTAATTATCCTGATAACTCTAGGAAGTAAGTACTGTCATTAACTTTGTTGTATAGCAAACTGAGGTTCAAGAATAGTGATAGGGCCAGTACTGGAACCAAATCTATTCATTCATTCATTCATTCACTCATTCAACAAATATTACACCTACTACATGCCAGACACTATTCTAACCACTGAAGAATACAGTGATGAGTAAGACAAAGTCTCTACCCTTAGCAATATCTACTCTAATAGGAAATAAACAAATATGTAATATGATGTCAACTAGTTGTAAGCATAACAAATAAAAATAAAACAGTAAGGGAATAGAAAGGCATGGATAGGAGGTGGGTGCTTTTTTAGCTATAACTTTGCTACACTATTTCTCAAATATCTAATTTAGAAAGTAGGAGAGAAGGCAGGGAGAGAAGAATAACTGACAAAATAAGATCCAGCAAAGAAGTCAGTAAAAAAGTTACAATACGTTGACTTAAAACTTATAGAATATAGTATGTGATGCCACCTTAATATAGGGCTAGCCCAGAAGGCAATAATTATATTATAATAATATATAAAAAGTGATATTCAGAAAGACTACCTTGGAGACATCAAATTACAAATGCAAAATTTATGTTCAGTGTCACTTTTAAGAAGTCATCAAAAATAGTCAATTTCTATATATTAAGGGGTAAGCTTCAGTTAATTGATGAGTTCAGTTACTTGAAACAGCTCACTCACAATGGTGCAAATAAATAAAACATTGCTTTCCATAAAATAACTGCATTGGAAAGGAGCTAACATTTTTGAGTACACACATGATGTTTTACTTTAAAATACCCAATCTCATTTAATCCTCACAATAAGCTCTTAAGATTGGAATTATTCTCAACTCACAAATGGGTAAACAGATTTAAAAAGACTAATTTATCTTAGATCAAACTTGAAAGAACTGGGGTTCCATCCCAGGCCTCTTTACCTAGAAATATTCTTGTTTGATTATAACACTATACCATAATGCCTCATTCCAAGATGGAAAATAGAATTATAATTCCACAGATCAACTCATTATCATTTCTACTTTATTAAGAAAATGATTTTTTTTCCATGTTATGTAATGGTATCCTTCTAGAAAACTCAAGGAGATTCTTTAAATGAAAGTTATAATGTATCTGGAGATTAAAAGGTGGGAAGATCACACATTGAACACAAAAATTTACCTCCACTCTCTCCCAAATTCCTCTAACAGTATGAACAGATTTTTTTTTTTAAAGGAAAGAACCACATAAACCTGGAAGGTCAAAATGGAAAGGAGACAACAGCTATAAAACTTTTGGAAACTGGAAAACAAACAGACAAACAATAATTGATCAAGCATTCCTAAGAAAGTGAAAACATAAGATAACAAACCGAAGAACAAAAAACAAGACAACTTGCATCAGAGAACCAACTGAGAGCACCAAATACTTCTGAAGTGGGAATAAAAGTAGAACTAGAGAGAAAAAATTAGCTGAAAGTCTGTTTAAATAGCATGTAGATCCCCAGTTATCCTCCCCCATACTAAAGAAAGACTAAACCCAAGGGAATTTGATGACACCAGGCTGAGTGGAGTGGGTGCCATGTTGAAAACAGAGAGGTAAAGTTTATATACTTAATGATGGGGTTATCCAGCCCTCTCTCTCCATTTACTTTCAAAATAAGGACAGAAAGATTTACTGCTCTAGGTAGGAAACTGGAAAATTCTCCTCTGAGGAAACTAACCAGTCCATGAAAAAGCCCTAAATGAGCGACAGCTTAATGGAAGTAAAGGGAGAGTCAACCAGCTAGGTCAACCTACAAAGCAAGTCACCAGCCAACATATCTCACCCTATACACAGAATTTTCTGTTAGCTTTATAATACCCACTTTCACATATAAGCAGATAGCCAGCATGTAAGAAAACTCTGATATGAGAGAGAGACCAAAACAAATAGATAAAAGGAACTTACAGGTAAAAGAGAAAACATCAAAAGTTATCCTTAGCTATCACCAAATAAGAGAATATAGTGATTATATGAAAGAGCAGGATGCTGTATTTTTTTAACAAGGAATTTTCAGAGAATAAAAAGGAATTACTAGAAATTTAAAGTATGAGAGCAAAAATAAAAAGTTCCATAAAGTAGTGAAGGATAAAGTTAAAGAATAAAGAAAAATAATACTTATAAAACATTAACTATGTTCTAGACTCTATTCTAACAGTTTTACATTTATCATCTCACTTATTCATACCCCCCAAATCCTATAAAATGGATATATTATTTTCCCTATTCTACAAATGAGAAAATTTAGGTCTAGAGTTTAGTTTTCCCACAGTCACAGATATTAAGTGGCAAATACAATACTGAAATTTGAATTCAGAAAGTCTAATTCCAAAATCCAGGCTTTTAACCATTATACTAAAGCAGAAAGAAAAAGCAAACAAATAGAAAATGTGAGTAAGAAAGGATAAGAACAACGAAAGAATCAATCCAGGCAGTTCAACATCATGAATAATAGGTGATCCAAAAAGAGAACAGAAAAAAATCAAAGAAATAAATGAAAGAGGCCACTGAGTAGGCAACCCAATGGATAAAAAACAACAACAACAACAACAAAAAACTCACAACAAAAAAATTACCTTGAAATTTCAGAACTCCGAAAGTTACTGAGTTTTCAAAAAGAAGGAGAGGATCTGAAATTAGAACAGCAGTGGGCTTCTCAAAAGTAATACTGGAAGCCAACGGCAAGTGGAGCAATATCTTCAAAATTCTTAAGAAAAATGACTGCCATTCTAGAATAATTCCCCATCAAGAAAGTGGGAAGGTAGAATAAAGAAATTTTCAGTCCACCATGCAAGGTCTCAAAAATATACTCTCCATCCACTTATAGACCAAGAAGTTACTGCAGGATATACTCTAGCAAATGAGTAAATAAACCATGAAAGAGGAATATCAGGATGTAGTGAACGAAGATCCCAGAAATGCAGGTATGCAACAAGCCTAAGATGCCATCAACATCCAGATTAGTGTGGGAAGTTAGAGGATTCTAGTCAGATGAAATTGACAGAATACTGATCATTCAAACATAAGGAAAGAAGCCTTTAGGAATAAATTGATGATAGCAAACAAAATAAAAAGGTAATTATTCATTTAATCATATGCTTCCTTCTTATATGAAACACCTAACTCTGACAACTCTGTTACTCTAGCAAAGTAAAAAGTGAGCGCCTAAAGTAAAGTCATCCTATCTCGGGTAAAAATAATCTTTCATATTTAATTTTTTTCCAAATAGCATTACAATAATAAAATAGAATAGAAGTCTAGAAGCATGGGATCTGCTAACTGTGGCATATTAGGCACGTCATTTGGCATCTCTGAGCCTCATCTAGAAAAAGTGAAATAATACCTATCCCAAAGCTGTATGTGCAGAATTAAAGAGATGTGAATATTCCCAGCATAATGCCAAGCACATAGTAAGTACTCAGTGCATTTGTTAAATCTGAACTGTACTGAAAGAAACGGAAATAGCAACTGGCAAGCAGAGACTCCCGCCACTACATACCTTCTGTGTTGTTGTGTTTGTCGTCTGTGTTGATGGTTTGGTGAAGGTTATTTTCACAGGAGACATGTGAGGTGGTAAGGAGTTGGCGATGCTCTGCATGATATTGCTCATCTTGGGACTTCCACTCACAGGCACAGTGATCGTCTTTGAGACGGGAACAACAGCTTTTGGAACTTCCTTTAGGACAACAGGGGAGGAACTAGAAGAGTTTGTTCGCCTGCGTTTTCTGGGTTTTTCATCTTCATCTGAACAGCTAACACCTGAAAGATAAGGACAATATTGCCATATTTATATTTACAGCAATTTAGCATTGCATTTTATACCTTATTTTAGTATCTTTGTATCATCAAATCATCCTTGACCTCTTTGTTTCACCCAATCAGTCAATCCTCCTTCAGAGAAGTTGTCTCTGAATGCCTTCTTTCCTTCTTTAATCCTATCGTGATGGCAAGACCCTCTTATTGCCTGCCTGTATTTAAGTAACACCCTCCTAAAAGGTTTTCATACTTTTAATCTCTACTTCTTTTCCACCCTCCAACCTACTTCCAATTATAAAATCTCATAGGAATGCCCTGCTTCAAATCCTTTAACAGTTTTTATCTTCCTACAAGATAAGGCACAAAATTATTACTATATCAAAGTCCCATATTTTTACAAGAACAGAATACCCTGTTCCACTCAACCCTGTGTACCTCTATAATCCTGGTACACTGAACTGCTCAACATTCCTCAAAGCCTTACCACATTCTATCCATCTGAAGTCTCTATATACTGTTGTTCTTTGGGAAATACTATCTCCCATCAATGACCACTTCACCATTCTGCAATCATCATCCTACAAGCCATCTCTTCAGTGAATCCATGTTTCCTCTGAGCTTATAAAGCACCTTGTATAGTCTCTTCTTATCACTTGCTCCATGACAATGTGACTGTCATTCTGCATATCTCCCAGAATTAAGGGGTACCAGAGGAAAATGACTAAGTCTTTATGTGACTAAGTCTTATTGTTTCCCTGGCATCGTGCCTTGCACATATAAAGTTAAGTGAATGAATTATTCTGTCCCAAACTAATGTTGCCTGTGTAACTTCTGAGAATTAAGCAATATACTTCCAAAATATACTTCCTGTTACTTCAAACTATACCTTATGTTTGGAATTCACTTTCAAGGTTTTAAAAAACAATTAAAAAGTAGATCTCTAAAGTTAATTTAAAAGACCATCTTGGATAAATCCACAGAAATCAGACATAAATTTAATAGTCCCAAATTCTCAGTTTTTATGTACTAAAGCCTCAACTGTTTGTTTGTTTTTTAAATCAAGTGAGAAACATAAAACCTTGCAACACACATACAAAATCTCTACAGAGACGATACTTTAAAAGTATACAGCATGATATAAAATATAACTTGTAATAAAATATAACTCCTGCCCTAACCAGTTTGGCTCAGTGGATAGAGCGTCGGCCTGCGGACTGAAGGGTCCCAGGTTCGATTCCAGTCAAGGGCATGTACCTTGGTTGCGGGCACATACCCAGTAGGGAGTGTGCAGGAGGCAGCTGATCGATGTTTCTAACTCTCTATCCCTCTTCCTTCCTCTCTGTAAGAAGTCAATAAAATATATTTTTTAAAAAAATATATACCTCCTTACATGTTTAATTTTTAGACTCTAATTTAAACAACACTGACAATGACCTAAAATCATTCCTGTCTAAAACAGCTAATTCCACCTCTAAAAGTTACAAAGAAATCAAGTTTATAACTACATTGACAAAAATTAAAATCAAATATTAATGGTCTCTAGTTAACATCAAAAGCAGAAAAACAGACATAGATATTTTTTAAAAAATGATCAACCTAGCTGGTTTGCTCAGTGGTTAGAGAGTAGGCCCACAGACTGAAGGGTCCCAGGTTCCATTCCAGTCAAGGGCCCATACTTCGATTGCAGGGTCAATCCCCTGGCCCCGATCTGGGCATGTGCAGGAGGCAACCAATCAATGTTTCTCTCTTTCGCTCTCTCTTTCTCTCCTTCCCTTCTTTCCCTCCCTCCCTCCACTCTAAAAATCAATGGAGAAAAAAAACAAAAAAATGAATTAGATATTAAACTGCTTTACAGGGTAGAATCAAGGGTTTAAAAACTGCAAATAAAAACTTCAAAAAATTATAGTCAATTAGAAATATAAAAGATGGACCTTCTAGAATGCTTCACTGAATCTAACAGATAATGTCCATAATTTTTTAAAACACTACAAAGATTACAATTGTAGGAGTAAACACTGAATGACTCACATAAGCACATTCCTTCATTTCTACTCCCATTTCTATTCATGACAATCAAAACAAGTAAATACTTGAAGGATATCACTGTTCAAGGCATATTCCCTAAGAGAACAAAAGAAAAGTAATTTCTCAACCCCAGAACTAATTAAAAAGCAATAGGTAGCTAGTCACATGTAAAAAAAAGAATTCTTTAGAACCTCCAAAATCTAACCACTGCTAATAGCCAGTGGATCAATGATTTAACCCAAAAAGGCAAATCTAATCAGAGCCTGTGCTGCAGCATTTAGCCAAGAAGATCCTAATAACAACACTGAGAATATCACTTACTTTTGACATAAACAGTACTTCCACTTGGCAAGACAACTACATTGGAGGCAGGACTGGCAGGTCTTGGAGACTTAACCGTTGCTATGCTGCCACTTGGAACAGGGGTAGAGGTTGGGGTTGACGTGGTACTTGTGTAGGAATAGCAAACCACTACTGAAGGAACGATAAAAAAGTCTGCTGTTAACTTTCACAAAAACTGTCCACTCATAGAAAAATTAGTTTTTACCGCAGGCTAATTTTAACGTTTTCATGCGATCAGAAGTTAGAGGCCAGTGCTAGGTATTAGGTTTACAAGTTAAAAGGTTTAATAACCTTTCCTGAAAATCATCACTTAACTGGGTTTCCCCCAAGTATTTAAAAGCTGTTTATAAGTGACACTGCCAATAAAGAAAAGTGCAGTTACAAAGAAATCAAGTCTAAAACTAAGAAAAATTAAAATCATTTTTCATTCATGGCAGGAGTTAAACAGTACTTGCATTCTCTTTTAATATTAATAGCAGCACCAATGATGGATGGATAATTTTTTCCTAACAATAGCAATTTCCAACTTGGCTACTAGGGGGAAACCAAGGCAAGGTTCCTTTATTACAAACCAACTCACTAGTCACTTGCCATCCAAGCAGTGCAACAATAACTAAAGTAATAACAACATCATATTTCAATATCTTAAATAACAACAAGAAACAAAAATAGCTCATAGGCACCATTTACTGAGTACCATGTACTACACTAAATCTTTGTCTTCTATTATTACTAATTGTTATAATACCACACCTACATTTCAAAGATGAGGAATCCAAAGTTGACAGAAGCTAAAAAACTTGCTGGAGGTCACACAGCTAGGAAATGGCAAAACTAGTATTCAAACATAGATTTGACTATTGGAAATCCTATATTCTTTCCACTCTACCAGAGTTGTGGATAGAAACAGTTAAGTGGGAAGAAAAGATTCACTTAATTACAACAAACAAATCAGAAACTCAATGGAGGTAAAGTTTGCATACTGGTAACCGTCTCTGAATACCTGTATAGCTTTCTTCAGCTTAAAAAGAGAATCTAACCTGGCATGCACAAAAAGGGTATCTCACTTTGCTCCACACCCCACTGCTATTCCAAAAAGACAATTCCCCAAAGTCAGCTGACAACTGCATTATTTTCAGGGTCATTTTCATGCAACACCAAAGTAAGCTACTAAAAGTCAATCCAATGTGCACTCTCAAATTTAATATTACTCTTGGCAACCTCAGGAGAATTCAAAGATTTTTAAAGTATTTGTCAACTATTAGATTAAGTAAAAGAAAGCTTTCTTCATCTGCCAGGTAATCCCTAATGGATTCAGCATCTTTCCCCAGCAGCTAAGTGACTTCTATCATCTTACTTATTTCCCATGTCACCATTAAAACCTTTTATTCACTCCTAACAAAACACACAAATCTCAAAAATTCATTCCAAGAAGGCTTTTTGCATTTTTGTGATTAATATAATTCACACTTTGCATAAAAGGGGGACTTAATTCTGGCTGAGACTAAAAACTTAGCAGTTTCTAGTTTCAGAATAAAAATTGGTCACTGATTTGCAACCTTTAAACACTGACATATAAACAGATAAATAATAAGACAACTTTTCTTGAAGAATTTAAGAAAAGTCATCTCTATACACAAATATTTTTCTACTCACCTTCCTTGCTTCCTGTTTCTGCAGGCACTGGAAGAGATGCATTGTGCTGGATAGCTGCATTGGCAACAGCATTAGCTGTTACAGTGAAGGCAGTTTGAGGAACCAGCCGGGGCATCAGTGGTACCAATCGACGACCTTCAATGGACCATTCTGAAGAGCTATTAGGTCCAGACATACTGAACAAAAAAGAAAACGCTGCTACAAGAGTTCTCAATCGATGAAAGTGAATCAAATATGTTTGCTCAAATAAATATAACTTTTTACATTTAAAAAGTACCCTAGGTGAATAGGAGAGGCTTCATTTTAAGTAAGTAAGATCAAAATTACATATAATTAGAATTCAAGGAATTTCACATATACTTAGTTTCTTACATATCTTATTCTATAATCTGAAAATTATAATGAACATAACTGAAAATATAAAATATTTTCCTATGCTTTCTAAATAAATATTGCTATTATTTTCATTAGTTTAAATCCAGTGGTATGAATGAAATCCGGTTTTCTACTAACTTTTAGAACTTAATTTTATAATTAAACTAGAAAGGTAAAAAGAACTATATTTTAAAAATCTGATTTTCCTCAATAATTAAGGATGGAATTCAGTGAACCTTTGCAAAATTATCTAACTGCCTGCATGACCAGAGGTTCGAAGGCTTTCAAAGATGGACAACTGAGGCAGTAAACGAGGGAAACTTGAGGGGTAGAAGAAGGCTGTATATATCACTGCATATTTCACTGGCAATGTATTATATTATTGTCCTTATATTATTTTTTAAAAGACTAGATCTGAGGACACTGGGAGAAATCTGCCACTATTTTAATTTTATTTATTTATACCACTCTTCACTGTTAAGGATTTTGAGGCTGCTGAACTCTATCCTTAAGCAGACACTATTCTGTTTCTCTACTCAACTTCTTGAGCAAAAATTTTTTTGTTTGTTAGTCCTCACCTGAGGATATTTTTTCCATTGATTTTTTTTTTTTAAGTGTAAAGGAGTGGGAAAGACAAGAGAGAAACATCCATGTGAGAGAGACACATTGACTGGTTGCCTCCTGCACGTGCCCTGACTGCAACTAAGGTACGTGCCCTAGACCAGAATTGAACCTGAGACCCTTCAGTCTGCGGGCCGATGCTCTAAACACTGCGCAAAACTGGCTAAGCTCTTGAGCAAATTTTATCCCAGGAATCCAGAGGTTGAAATATGAAAAGATAGTTGCATCTCCTCTCTTTACTTGGCTCTGTAAAAGGTAGTTAGGTCACTTCTGATTAATGATTAGGGTTGAAGTTTAAAATTCACTTAGAGTCAATCAATCAATCAATCAATCAATCTCTTCACTAAATCAGAAATATTTCTGTACCTTTTGCAAAACCAGAGATTCTACAACCCAACCTAGAGTTTAAGACTCTCTCTGTCCACTGATTCTTCATATTCAGAGTACAGAAAAGCCCTTATTAGGGGATAGTGGAATAATGATAATGATGATGGTAATTATGATAGCTAACATCAATTAAGCACTTACTATATCTGTACTTTAGTACTAAACATTCTACATGTAATTACATTGAGTTAATGTAATTCTTTAAAAAATCCTATGAAATTAGTAATACTATCTTCATTTTGTAGATGTGGAAACAGAGTTTAACTAACTTGCCTAAGGTCACACAGCTAATAAATGCCTCCTTTAACAAGCATATATCATGCTATTGAAATTATTCACCACATTACAAGTAGAGTATATAAAGATTTTCAAATGTGTTTTATGTCTAACTTTTGCTTTTGATTTATACTAATCAAGCACTGCTATCTAATTACTACCAACCTTCACTAAATAGAACAAATAAATTACAACTTGAGAAGGATTTACATTCTGTTCAGAAAGGAATTTAGAGACACTAAGGAATTCAATTGGGTTACTGTGGGAAATATGCAAATTTCCTCATCATTTAACACAGTCCTACCCAAGACAAGAGAAAGAGGATTTCCCAAGACCCTCTCACAGATCTATTAACAAACACATTATCTCCACATTGATGCTAGTTCTGAAACAGAGTGGTATAAACAAGAGAGGCAGGAAACAGCTACAGCTAATTGTCAAAAGAAAAAATTCTAAAAGATATTCAGCATTTTCTTGGCTAACTCCTATTTTGCTACCATTTTGTTAGAATATCACTAATAAATGTGCTTACTGAGAGTTTACCACACAAATAAAGTGTTATCTACACTTACCTGGTGCATTGTTTAAATGGTGGCAGAAATTATGGAAGATTAATAATTTCAAACACATGAATATATGCTATTGAAAAGACAAAATTTGCAGCGCAAAAGACACACTGCAGCTTTTAATCTATAAATCTTCCAAATTTCTACTCATGCAAACATGCTCAAACTTTTTTTAAGTTAGGAAAAATTAAACATCATGTTATAATTAGATAAAAAAAATTCCTCTCTGCTTAGCAATAAGGGTATAAATATGCATTCGTTGCACAAATCATCTAAACTAAATTTTAGAAATTTTTGTAAACATCTTACTCCAGGGCTTCTCTGCACACCTAAGTTATATTAAGATGGCAAAGGAGGGTGGAAACCTTGTTCCAGCCCCTTTTCTGAGAGATCTAACATGATATTAATAAAACTACCTTGGCCCTCATATCCTTTGGTGTGCAGGGCACCAGCAAGAAATCCTCATCCTCACATAGAAACTCACACAGTTTCCTATGATGTTGGGCTGATGAAAAAGGGGTTAAGAGAACAATAATTCCAGATTACCACTTTCTTTGAACTCTAAAGACAATGCTGGCAAGAGTGGACAAATTAAAGACTCTGAAGCCCCTTGACATTCCAGGCTTTAATACTATAATATTCTGACATGTTTCAAAACTGAATTAGAGAATCAAACTTAATAAATGGCCTGGTACCAAATAATAAGTAAGTGTTATGCTTCAAGCCACAGGCAAGGTTTTTCTTTGATCCCAGACATCCCACTCCTTTTGTTTCTACCTCCTTTGTGCTCTTCTCAGTTTGCTCTTCACCTTTCAACCACATTCCTTGGGCCTAAGCTGATGTTTTGAGTGGGGGAGGGAAGGGAGAGAAGAGGAATGCAGTCAAAATTCAGATGCATTCCTCCTTGGCTAGAGTTGCTTTTTTCAGGCTCAGAGTATGACACCCTCCTACAGATATCCTTTGAAACCAGGTTCTGTTGCTATCTCTTAGGGAAAGGCAGAGGAGATGGAGCAAATGAAGGATCTATGCCTTCTTCATCACTGCCACTCTGACTTTTGGATTCAACAATAAATGTGACATCTGATCAAACTAAAACCACAATATAAAATATTAAAACAGAAATATGGAAAAACCTAAGAAGCTTAAAATTATACACTGAAGTAAATTCTTCAAAAAATTAAATTCGTGTATTAAAGAAATCAGAAGGGGAAAGGGGAACACAGGCAGATAAAAGCCAACTCTCAATTATCCATGCTAATAGATAGAGGAGGGAAAGGGAGAGGTCAAGCAAATTAAAGAAACGCACATATTATCTAAAAATACTTTGGTAAATACTTGAAAATTATTCCACCAAACTTCTCCAGGACAACTAATAAGTAATAAAATAACTAATTAAAAATTTCACCTCCTCTCCCTTCCCACCCTCTGACTAAAGAACTCCCAAGCAACAAAATGGCTAAAGGGTGGGCAGTATTAGGTGAGGGAGAAGGGGAAGAGAAGGAAAAGCAAGGGGCAAGTTAATTTGTAAATGGAATATGCGCCCCTGAATAATTGAGAGCTTCAATTTTGAAATAAATACAAGAAAAAGCCTGAAATAATAATAACCTATTTGCATACCTGTAACTTGGTCTTTCACCCAAATATAAGGATAAATTCATTCTTTAAAGGGGAAAAAAGGAAAAGGAGACTAAATAAATGTTATCCTTAAGTATGACACTGATGCATCAACTTACAACTATTGCCCCACAATACTGTTCCAATGGTTTTAAGGTACTAATATTGTATCTAAGTGCCTCTGTATACAAGCTATTGTTAACTACTTTATTATCTAGCACATTACTTTCCCATTACCAGTTCTCAAATTAGAATCTAGGCTCAGTTATTACTTTTTGAGCATACCAACTCAAAAATTTACAGCAAATTAAAGAAGGAACACATTAATATTTTAATGTTTCAACCATGTTGGTCTGACAACTAAATATTTAATATCTCTAATGGAAAACTGCCAGCTTTCTAGAGTGCATACATATCTACCACTGAAAGCTCTCAAAATTCAAATAGCTAAACTTTTAAACTATGAGGTTAAAAAGATAGCACTCCATTTTATAGGTTAAGTAAAATGAGGAACAGTGAAGCACAACATGAAGCTAATGGATCTTCAGGGTCAATTAATTTAAATGCACTGTTTATCACATCATAAAAATAAAAAACAAATGAATTATAATATATTTTATGTTCCTATCATCTTGCATTAACATTTAAAGGATTAATTTCTGTTCCTTTCTATTCTTTAGGAGGCACTGTCTCCATACATACTCTACTGTTTGACCCTTGCCCTTAGTCCTCCACCACCCTCTACCCCATCAGTCAAACAGTTATAATGATTTAAAAATAATTTGATAAGAATCCTTTATAATTGTATTTTGTTGGCTTTTACAAAATATATTGTATTCGTATTTCTTAAAAGCAGAACATATATTTTATAATCTTTTTGTGAATCTCAAAACATGTGACATATTAGTTATCTAAAAATTTAGAATGCCTATTTATAAAGCAATATATATATCAAATACCATTACAAAGACCCTCTAAGGGAATGTCAAATTTGGGGAGCACACTACTTTGTTACTGAACTTTGCTTCAAGTGAATCATCTGCTAAATTCTGGGGGTCTTTAGTTTTATAGAGATTACATTGTAACGGGATTTGAACTGAGTATTTAAAGCTTGCCTAACCAAATGCAAAAACATAACCAATTGAATAAACAGTTAATAGCATTATGGTCAGGATCCCTGAGTAGAGCAGTCTTAAAATAAAAGACTCAGGAATCTGCTACACAATAGGAAGACTGTTTCAAAACTATATTATACTATGTCATAAAAAATCAGGGGTGGTATGACTAATGGCTTACTTATGTGCAATTGTTGTTAACCGTTCATCGTTTACTGCTCTCCGAACTTCAGCACGGTGGCGTTCTGTTGAGATGCTATGAAAAAAAATAGCCATTATAGAACTCTGTCAAGCAGGCAGTTCTTTTTATACTTTTATTAATGTTTAAGCCAACATTTTGCTTGGGGTTGGGGGGCAAAGTTGATTTGTGAAAAGATATAGATGGGATCTAACATTTATCTTCAAATGCTTTATTTAATTAAATTCAAAGAAAAAGATTCAGACTGGTTCTGTGTAACTGCAGAAAGAATTAGCTGAAAATCTGAAACCAAAGGAAGACAAATTCAACTTGATCTGAAGTCATTGCCTCAAAAAACTCAGTAATGTCAGACCATGTTCAAATTAGTATAGGTTCCTATTATCTAAGTATGCAAACAGCCACTGAATGACCCCTAATCACTCAGGAGAAAGTCTTCTGAAGTCCTTTCTAAAGCTCACGAGTCTGTAATTTATGTTCAATGAATATAATAAAGAAATGGAAGTAAAAAGATAATCTGTTTCTAGTGGCAACTTGCTATGAAACTTAACACCAGGATATTACTCCTTTGTTACTCCACATTTCAACTATGTGTTTTCTACAGCATGTCATGTTACCACTATGGTAAAAATGTGCTAACATTGAACCTGGTTAAATACATGTAAAGTTAATACTAAACAACTGAAAAAAGGCTATAGCATTCCATTCAAAAGTAATAAAATAAATACCACTCTTAAAATTGTAGTGTTTACTGTGTAAGCTAAATCTACACCATGGACTAAAATAAATTTAAGGGGCTGGAAAGCAGAATTTATGAGGAATTATACACAACAAACAAAAAACATAAATTATTAAATATGAAGACAGTAAGATTAAGGTTTTGGCTTAATAATGTCCCTGTATTAATGTTAATTAAATATAAGAAAAATCTTTTCCCTACTTCCACTTTTTAAAATATTGTTTTTAAATGCAGAAAGGAAACTTCAGTTAAAACAGAACATTTTCTGAGAAAGCTCAAGATATTAGAATGGCTTAATCAAAATATCAAAGAACCCTTTCTATAAGACTTTTTTAGCCCTGGCTGGTTTGGCTCAGTGGATAGAGCGTCAGCCTGTGGACTGAAGAGTCCCAGGTTCGAATTCGGCCAAGGGCACATGCCCAGATTACAGGCTCGATCCCCAGTAGGGGGTGTGCAGGAGGCAACGGATCGATGGTTCTCTCTCATCATTTCTCTCTCTCCCTCTCCTTTCCTCTCTGAAATCAATAAAGAAAATTTTAAAAAAAAAGAAAAGAATTTTTTAATGGATTCAAGTGCCACTCTAATGGGAAGCTGAAGGGATAAACTATCCTTAAGACTATGACTACATAATCACCATTTCTATAAATTAAGACAACTGCCTAGTATCTCCTTCTTCTCCTCAATAAAGTGTGAGCCCAGCGGGTATGCCCCAGTGGTTGAGCATCAACTCATGGACCAAGAGGTCGCAGGTTCAATTCCCAGTCAGGGCACATGCCTGGGTTGGGGGCCACGCAAGAGGCAGCTGATCAATGCTTCTATCTCTTTTTCCCTCTCCCATCCTCTTTCTCTAGAATCAATAAAAACATTTTTTTAAAAAAGTAACTGGGCCACTCTAGATCTTCATATCCAGTTGCTGCCAACTCTTCTTTCCTCTACTTTCCTTTCACAGCTGGCCCAAGCCTAAAATAACCTGTCTTAAACGCTTTCTGATTATATTACAGAATAAATGGTAAACTGCATAATTTTCTGTAACAAAGAACACAACTGAGATGGGATCGTTAAGCACCAACAACTTGAAGACCTGTCTTCAATCTGAGTGTGAAAAGTAATGAAACCCCTCAACACGAAAATTCTAGAGTCATGTCTCACAAACTTATATGATAATTTACCTAAGAACTTTTGAGAGTTCTCCAAGAAGATCTTTCTTTTCCTTGGTGAGATCCCCCTGTGCCCGAAGTGCACTGATAACTCCAGCATATGCCTCCAATTCTAGAAGAAGAAAATTATTTTATCAAGAAAGGCCTTCAATATTTTAATACTGTGGCTACATATAGGGAAGAAACCTAAAAAAAATTAATAAAAAATCAATATAGAAATACTTTTTAAAATTCCTCTCAAAAATGTTATGTAATAACAGATTAAAATGTAGCTTTTAAAATTTTATATCATTTTCTTTTTACTGCCTCAAGAAGTCATGTATTTAAAATATGGAGGTAAAAATTCTAACGGTAAATATTTTGTCTCACACATTATCACTAAAGGACATTTAACTCAGATGGTACCAACAACTGGAAACGGACTCTAAATGATATAATAAGGCTGATAAAGAAGGTTTTAGCATTACTGAAAGGTATCTTCACCTCTAATCCTTGAAATAATTCCTTAGGCTTGCTTAAGAATCCAAACTATTCCACATACTTCCTTGAGAGTTGAGAGTACTATGAAGACTGTGCAATGAAAAATTACTGGAACAAGAGTCAAGTGACCAGATTCTGGCTCCAACACTGACACCTACAAGTTGTACGACCTTGGGCAAGTCCTTTCTCATCTCTAAGCCCCAGTTTCTTTATCTAAAAGAGACTCTGAAGGGCCTGGCCAGTGTGGCTCAGTGGTTGAGCATCAACCTATGAACCAAAAGTCTCGGTTCAATTCCCTATCAGGGCACATGCCCGAGTTATAGGCTCAATCCCCAGTGTGGGGTGTGCAGGGGACAGCCAATCAATGATTCTCTCTCCTCATTAGTATTTCTCTCTCCCCCTCTCCCTTTCTCTCTGAAATCAGAAATAAATAAATAAATAAATGAGACTCTAAAGCAGAGGTTCTCAACCTGTGGGTCGCAACCCCTTTGGGGGTTGAACGACCCTTTCACAGGGGTCGCCTAAATACATCCTGCATATCAGATATTTACATTATATTCTGTAGCAAGACTACAGTTATGAAGTAGCAACAAAAAATAATTTTATGGTTGGGGGTCACCACAATATGAGGAACTGTATTAAAGGGTAATGGCATTAGGAAGGATGAGAACCACTGCTCGAAAGGTACCTTCCAGATCTAAGAGCTTCTCCAGCTATAAAAACAATCATCAAAATGATTAAGGCAGATTAGGAAACATGAATTACTCTTACAGCAACCAGGACTAAATATACCAAACCCTAATGCCAGAAAGTTTCATTTCACTACCTTTCCACAGCAACAACCATTATGAAATAAAACTGTCAATCCCTAGTACTGGTAAAACCAAAAAGTCCTCAATGGCTCCCAAAGAACCATGCCTCTCCCCCTGATTTGGCATGTGACCTGCTTTAGCCCATAAAACCAGCATATGTGATGCAAGCAGACAAGCACACGGGGCCTGGCTCTCTTGGAACTCTGAAATCACCAAGCCATGAAAAAGCCCAGAATGAAAGGCCACATGGACAGAAAGGCTCAGCCATCTCAGCTGAAACCAGTCAACCAGCTAAACTACCAACTGAAAACAGCCAAATGAAAGAGCTCAGGCAAGACCATAAATTCACAGAATCTTGAGAAATAATAAAATAGTTGTTGTTTTAAATCATTAATACTAGGAGATAGGTAGCTGGGTAAAACAAAATAATGGGAAATAAGTGCCCAGGCTACAGTTATCTTCTTACTAAATTCAAGTTGCTACCAGTATTTGCCACTAGCCAATGCCTGACACAAAAGACACTCAAAGTTAGCCAAATAATGAAAGAAAGGATATTTGCATCCTAAGCACCTATATCAATAATAAACTAATAGCCTCATTCAGTTCATATTATTCACTGTTCTAATTGAAAAAAAAAAAAAGCTTTATATGGAAGCTGAGCTGACTATATTAAATAGAAATCTCTGGACCAAATGAATTATCCCAGCTGTAAACATCCTGCATGTCCACTCTGTGCTGGATAATAGATCAATGTTTCACGAGGTTTCTCTGGAAGAAAAAAGCTCTGCTGCTATGGAATAGTGAAGGAAATACTCAGCTCCAGAACACATATATTTTAGCTATTATCAGGACCCAAGTAAAGTTCAGAAAAACTCTAGGATAACCAACTAAGAAATCACTGCACTCTAAATGTTTATGCCCCATTTAGGAAATATTTCATGCAACAAATCAATATTGATTCCGGTATATATACCAGATAGTATGCTAAATCCTGCCCTCAAGGAGTTAACTCTAGAATATAGCTACAGTGAAACAAGTCATCCGACAATTATGATACAGTTTATAATACAGTGGTAAAGGCACAGAGGAGAAACACATCATCTAGTCTGGAAGCATAGGTTTCAATCAGAAAGATATCTGTGCTCCAAGCAAGCAGGGGGAAAAAAAGGCAAATGTGCAAAAGGAATAGAGAATAAGACAGCAGATAATGTTTTATACAGACATCAAACTTCCACTAAGTCAGTGACTACTTGGAGTGTTTTACGCTGGAAATGAAAATATGTCTGTACGTGCATAGTCACTAATTCAAACCAAACTACTAGTTGAACATTACTACTACACGGGACCATGGAGAATATTTACATAAACAAAGTCCCTATCCTCAAGGGGATTAAAATCCAACAAGGGGTGCATGTAAGGGAATAGAGAAGGATAAAAATGGAAAAGTAGTTGGGTGCCAGACTAAGAAAAGCCTCTAATTCCAGTCTAAAAAGTTCTTATTTGATAGGACTCAGTAACTGAATGTGGAAGGAATAGCAGAAAGGTTTTGCAGTTTACAAGATATTTAGGAGAATGTCAATATCATAAGAAATAGAGAGGTCAGAGGAAAGTGGTTTGAGGAAACAGAAAAAGAAGTTGACTTTGGGGCTTTGGAATTTATAGTGATCAAGACACTATTGCAAAAAAAAGTGAAATTAACTAAAGAAATGTGACAAAGATTTTTGACATATCAAGTCTCACTCCAAGTCTAACTAAAAAGTCATGCACAAAAGTAAGGTAGCAACCTCACAAAATACTGGGACTCAGAAGAGTTATCATAGCTACAAAATCAAAGTCACTTCCTCTCCTTCTCCAGAAATTCACTCATTGTAAAGAATTTTTAATAGCTGCCCAACCTCCTTCACATTTACTGATTTCCATTTTGATGGGTATCCTCAGATCCTGACAAATATCAATTTCTGACATTAATTTTGATGCCGTTCTATTATATTGTTAACTCTAATGATACATAAGTATAATGAAATAATAAACACATGCAAACACCACAAAAAAAACCAAAGGATTTACCATACCATTTTTATAAAGTCCTCAACCCATTCCCTTTAAACAAATCAATCATTCAATTATACTATAGTCCCTAAAGCCCCTGCAAAACCTTTCTTTCTGCTATTCCAAGAATTTGCATTTATACATATAGTAGAGGCCCAGTGCACAATATTCATGCATTGGGGGGAGAGGGGTCCCTCAGCCCGGCCTGTGCCCTCTCTCAGTCCAGAAGCCCTCGGGGGATGTCCAACTAATGGCTTAGGCCTGTTTCCCCGAGGGAGCGGGCCTAAGCCAGTAGTCGAACATCCTTAGCGCTGCCCTGGAGGCAGGAGAGACTCCCACCACCACCGCTGCACTCACCAGCCATGAGCCCGGCTTCTGGCTGAGCAGCACTCCCCCTGTGGGAGAGCACTGACCATCAGGGGCCAGCTCCTGCATTGAGTGGGATCGGGCCAAAACCGTGCACAAAACCGTCCATGAAACCATCCACTGGTGCATGATCGGGGCCAGGGAGGGATGCGGGATATTGGCCAGCCGGGTAGGGACTGCAGGAGGGCTCCAGTGCTTGTCCAGCCCGTCTCGCTCAGTCCCGATCTGTTGGACCCCAGCAGCAAGTTAACTTACTAGTTGGAACGTCTACCCCCTGGTGGTCAGTGCACGTTATAGCGAGCGGTTGAGTGGACTTAGCATATCATTAGCATATATGCTTTGACTGGTTGAATGGCTGACTAGACAACTGGACACTTAGCATATTAGGCTTTTATTATATAGGATGGCAAGGGAGAGGCAGGATAAAAGAAAGGAAGCATTTAACTATCAATAGTATGTTCAGTACACCATAAAAAAATTATCTGCCGTAACCGGTTTGGCTCAGTGGATAGAGCATCGGCCTGCGGACTGAAAGGTCCCAGGTTCAATTCCGGTCAAGGGCATGTACCTTGGTTGTGGGCACATCCCCAGTAGGGGGTGTGCAGGAGGCAGCTGATCAATGTTTCTCTCTCATCAATGTTATCGGGACTGAGGGAGATGGGCCAGATATGCCCTCTAGCCCTCCTGCGGTCCCTCCCTGGCTCATCAACCTCCTGCGTCCCTCCCTGGCCCCCATTGTGCACCGCTGGGGTCCCTCAGCCTGGCCTGCACCCTCTCGCAATCTGGGACCCCATGGGGGATGTCAGAGAACCGGTTTCGGCAGATCCCGCAGGCCAGGCCAGACCCCACTGGTGCACAAATTTGTGCACAGGGCCTCTAGTTTTTTATATTTAAGTAAAATCTAAATGTTTAGCATCTTACCTAACTAAAATTTATAACTATTTTTAAAAGGACAAAGCAAATTCTTAAAATATTTTCAACTAATTCTTAAATATTAAGAATTAATTCTCTAAACTTTGAACAGGGAGCTAGTGTTGGAAGGAAAGGTTGCATTATTATAAGCAACCAATGGGTGGGAAAGAAGTCTCTGCAAATCACTATCAAGGCTCACTGAAGATGACATTACCCTGTAGGAAGGCTGTTTTTTTGTATAGAACAGCTCTCCAGTAGCATTACCCACATAGCACTGACTAAAATTAAGCATAAATTTATACTTAAAGGTTACCATTTTTATACTTAAACATAATGTCTTGATTCAAGGCCCCAAAAGCCCAAAAATCTTAATCAATCTACTGTAGTTGTGAACTGTTCCTCTTAATTATCTCAGCTATGAAACAAATACAAACCCTATTTTATAGCTGGTAGCTAGAAATTATAGCAACTGCTTGTAAGTGTGTAGAAAACCATCCTTAAATTAGTACTAAAAGTTTGGATATAAGGTTAAAGGGAAAAAAAGGTACAGGAATGACTGACAAAGACAAAAACAAACCAACTGTCTAGTTGTACTAAAATATAATGCTAAGTTTTTAAAATAAAGAAATCTTCATAGTGGTCTGAAGGGAAATAAAAACAGCCAAAGTTATTAAAAGGCAAAGTAAGAGCAGCTGTGACCAGATTTATACACAGGAATTCCTAACAAACATTTATTTTAAAGAAAAGATTCTGCCCTAGTTGGTTTGGCTCAGTGGATAGAGCATAGGTCTGCGGACTGAAAGGTCCCAGGTTTGATTCTGGTAAGGGAAACATGCCTGGGTTGCGGGTTCGATCCCCAGTGGTGGGTGTGCAGGAGGCAGCAGAAACAATTTTTCTTCCTGA